TAGTACCGCTCTGAGGCATCCCTCAAGTAAAATAACATATAAATAGAATGTGAGAAATCACCACATTTTCTAGACTCCACACTTAGTATGAAAAACAAAACTTCACTGTGCCCCAGCATACCCTCTACTTTTGTCTCCTCTTCACTTAAAGATTTCATCCTGTTCCATGTCATTTGTTGTAATAATTCCCCTGAAAGAGGAAGTGGCCCCTTCATCCACATGCTCCAGCCTCCCCTCCCTGGAGATGCGTCCTTTGCTGGCGCAGACTGGCAAGTAGGGCCAATCTCAAATGTGGTTTTCATTTCAAGATTGTTGCCGTTACTTCAAAATGGTAGAAATTCAGACACGAAACCAACTTGGTTGGAAGATGCATCAGTGCAAAGGTGTCAAAATCACCCCTTGCGTAAAATGTGCTCTTCTATTATTGATAAGAGGCCATGGGGGGGAACGGAGAGCAGACTATGTAAAGTATGAATTTTAGTTTGTGTCTCAACAGAAATAAGAACCTGAAGGGATATACCACGTGCCCCCCTACCTTCAATTTCTTTTGGTTTATTCAGTTGCAAAATCTTAGGGATTTTGAAATCACAAACAAATGCTACACTAAGGGATTATGTATAATATCTAGACTTTGAATGTAAACTTGCACCATTTCTACACACACACACCGCCCTGGGCCCATCCTTAAGAGGCTCTCTCTCTCTCAAAGGCAGTTAGTTATGGAAACAACTTTATAAATTTGCTCTTCTTGGGATATGGTTCTGGGCTCAGATTTCTTCAACTCGATGAGGACTTTAAATGACAGAGAAACAGTTTTAAAATAGAGGAAACAGATTTTTTTTTTTTTTTTTTTACACTACGGACAAATAAATGGCACTGACTTCTATGGCTATGGTTCACAAGCAATACATACTTCTCTTAAGTGTTTTAATTATCCAATATTAGACCATTGTGCTTTTCTGAAAATTGTCCAAATAGACATCCTTAGGAAGCATTGTTGTCTCTCTAGTAAACATGAAACAGGCATTTCAGTACTACCAAACAGCTTGTTCATAGAATACACTTCCAAAGAGATGGTCTACAGAAAAGACAGAGGTATATTTCTAGTCTGCTTTTAAAAACAAAGGTAAGAGACTCACATGAGAAGCCTACATGTTCTTCCTTTGACCAAAGATCATTTCAGAGCATTAGCCATACAAAAATGTATCTTTACTAATCCTCTCAAAGGTAAAGTACACACTGCATTGAGGACGATTCTTTAAATGAAGTGAATATATCCTTATTTACAAATATTTTAAGTAATACATATATTTTAATCACATAGGGTTAAGATGCATTCTTTTAAGCCGGTCATATATCAAAGTTAGCACCAGCCTGGCACAGCACACAGAAATAAGCCTATGCCGTTCTTTCAAGTGCAGTACTGTTCTCTATGCATTATGTACGGAAACAACAGATTTAATCTACCCTATAAATGCTTACTAATATTTGAATACATTTTCCATGCACCACTTCGTGTTAACTACAAATATACTTCTTAAAAACTTCAATATTTAGGCCAATATGACTTCTTGAATTCCTCGATAGCCAATATGAAACATGCAGACTGACATTTAATAAAAACGACTTGATTTAATGATTAACTACAGAGATTATGACAAACTGTAAATAAGTCATTTCCGTGAATGGACTCTCTATGGGTGTCACACGGCCTCTCAAAGCCACTCTAAATATCCTCACTGAAACTGTTACTCACTAATGCGCTACATTTTAAAGCCAAATTGGGTTTTCACTCTTCTCTTGCCAAAGGAACTAGAGAGAATGCTTCCTATAGCAAAATGCAAGCTCCACTGCAAACCCATTCCTAAAGATTAGAGAGGGCGAGAGCCTGAAAATTCAAGAAAAATTTCAGTTTTCAAGAAATTGTTTTGTAAAGTACCCTGCAAGCCAAGGAAAATACCGTGCTCACATAAACCCAGCAATTGTGATCAACAGTAAACTAGCAAATGTAAAAACAGAATCAGAAAAGTTAACTGGTAAATCCATCTCTCTCAAAAAAAAAAAAAAAATCCGATTTCAAGTGCTTGAATATTTTAGGAAAAAGCTACTCTGTGAGCCAGAGTTATTTGGATAATTACCTGAACTATTTAGTGTAATAAGGCATTTGGGCTTAAGAGAGAAACTTTTTCAGCTACTGTTTCATTTTTATGACATCACCCTTTCTCGTTACAATGCTTTAAATTTAAAGAGTTCAGCTTCGTTAACAAGAAACTACAAAAATTGGTAATACTCGTTAAGAGGTCAGTTTGCAAAAATATCAAAAGTTTAATTTCTAAAATGTCTCTGAAAATAAATTACTATTTCTAACCTCCCAGCCCCAAGTGACATCAATAAGCTCTGATTGCTTTTGCTTAACCCTTCCTGATATTAAGAAATCTAAGGAGTAGGGAGGCTGGAAACATGTTTCATTCACATCTAACTGAACCGACTGGAAGTCAACAGAGAGGTAGTTCTACATTTTAGACCAAAGGAGCACATACGAAGATATTTTGCCACGTTTTGTAGGCAAAAGGTAGAAAAATGTTAACATAAGGGCCAAAATCTTGTCAGTGTAATAACCTTGGACTAGAGCCAAAATGAAACTCCTAAAAGCTATTTGCTGTAAAGAGATAATAATAAAACTATTGCGTTATTTTTTCAAATGGTATCATCTCTAGCATTTTAATGGCAAATGATTGTACTGAAAACGACTGAGCTCTTCTGTCCTGGATTTCAAAATTCACACTTACTCGATTCACTGTATTTATCAGCAATTTCAAGCATTGTAACAGACAAAAACTTAGATTAAATCTAAAATTATCTGAGTTTCCTAACCAGAGGTATATAAAAGTTTCCTGGATCATATTAGAAATCCAAGAATGTTTGAAGCTTTACCAGAATGTAGTCATGCAATACAGGAAATTTTGAGATCTTAGGACTTTTTTCTGAATTCTTATCTGATACAATGGGACTTGTAAAGTCTAATTTTTGTATACTTGTGTTTCATTGCTGAAACTTGTAAGAGTCAGGGATTTTTAAGTAGCATTACTTCGTGGGTAAAAGACTCAACTGTTTTCTTTGATGACAGTTCAAAACAAAAGATTTCCTTGAAAAATTAGTATTTTGGCCATATTATTGTGCACCATCATGTCATTTTAATACAGTGTTCACCTTTCCTAGGCTTCCAATAACCCATTTAGAGGTAATCATAACAAGTCTGTTAAAGAAAAATCTCTACTTGATTGACCTATTAATCTGATAACATAATTAACTAGAAAGGAAATCCAAAACCAGTATCCTTAACCAGTATCCTCAGATATTCCCTAGGGTAGAACTAGCACAATGCTGGACTCACACTGATCTAAGGCATAAGTGATTATCTAAAAAAAAACAGATGGTTTCAAAAGTAAATGAAATCACATAGTTAAAATACACTTAGACATCAGCCAGATGTCAAAGGGGGGGATCAATCTGAATGGTTTCCAACATGATTACATGACAAATTAATTTCCTTTTTCTTTGAAATGTAGTAAATGAACAAGTGATTCCTTCACTTCTCTTAACAAGTGTAGTGATTTGTGTACTTAATATTCCATTCGTTCTAGTTTTGCAAGGAATGTTTTAAGAAGTTATTTCTTCCAAGTCACATGTCAAAATACTATTCTTATAATCATATCCGGCTAAGTTTAGGACAATGCTCCTCATTTTAAATTAGATGCCAGTCAGTGAAACTAAATGATAACTCTCAACATCTTCAGACAACTTTTGAGGTACTCTGACCAGTTACCACAGGAACATGAGATCCACCCTCTCCACCCTGCCCCCACCTCCAGCCCTTTTTAAAAATAAGCCTGTTTTAACTGCTGAAGAAATAATTTCGTGGAGCCCTTTCACGTGAAACAACGTTTGGTTGGTTAAAACCAAGTGTGAGCTCCATGTGATAGAAATCCTGCTTGGACAACAACAGAAAAGGAAACACAGGGATTCCAAATAGTAAATTATTGATGGTGCTCTATGATCAAAAAAAAAAAAAATCTTTTTAGATTCCCATCCCCAGCCACCCGGGAGCTTACGAGTGTATTTTGAAGCCCTGGAGCTCGTTTCCCACTTCTTCTACAGAGGCTAAGAATGTTCACATTACTATTGGTCACGTAATATGAATGTATTTTGTTTGACGGTAGTCATGTAAAAGCTACCTTTTAAGGCTGGAAGTCATGGGGCAGATGAGCATCAGGATTTTACAAAAGCGCACACACTGTCCAGCACATGTGTGTTCTCCCTGTCAATTCTGTTAATCGGCAGCGTTCCTCACCCTGACACACCCAAGGAGCCCATCATTTAGTCTGGATGATAGCATTAGGGTCCAGGAGTCCTTGAGATTGCATTTGCAAAGTAAAACTTTGTGAGAGTTACAAGTTGGGAACCTCTGAGCTCTCCCAGCAACGGAAAGGATGCACACAGCCAATCTTCAACAATCGAATGCCTGCTAATTTGATTGCCTAGAATTCCAGTCATTAGCCAAGCAATCTTCCGAATTAAGACATCCGGTCTCCTTCAATCTTCCACTTACACCAGAACACAGAATAGGTCTGACCAGTCAACTTAGGACAAAATTACCCATGAAAATGACTTGGGGTGTACATATGAGCTGGTGGCACAGCGTATTAGGGAAAACCCCCACTGCCACCTGAAGTTCTGGAGGTTCATGGGTTTCTAGGGAATGAATGATCTTAACATTCTTGATCTAGGTGCTAGAAAATGGGTCACATTTTTTAAATGTGCGTTAGTATCTTAAATGACTGAGAGCCAAAATGTTTGCACATTCCCACCAGAGGAGTTAAGGCATCCTAACAATTTCATAAGCCCAGGACAGGATGGATATTGAAAATAACGACGCCCCGTACAATGTGTACTGAAGATCCATGTAGTCCATAATCACAATGAAAATAACACACACGAGGTTCTCAGTTCATATAATTTATTGCAGTTAGCACACAGTTTAAAAATTCACCAACACACCAATAGTACAAAACTAAACAGCATTATAAGTTATTCCCCCCTCAGGAAAATAAAACATACTATGATTGTCAAAGCTAGATGTCAGTCTAAGGTTTAGAACAAAGGAAGAATGTGAAACTAATAAAAGGAAAAAGCAATCACTCACAATGACCACAAAAAAGAAAATCCAAAAGAAAGTCCGTTTTCTCAGACATTGATTGTCTCTTCTAAATTAATAAAAATTATTTTAACATAAACTGTATTTTAAAAAAAAACTAAAAACTCTTCAAGTAACTAAAAATAATGCTCCAAGGCCATTTTCACAGCTTTTTTTGTTTGTTTGTTTGCTTTAAATGCCATTACAGCCAAATTAACACACATTTGACCAAATATTTCCAAAACAGTCCAGCAACACACAATGGAGTTTTCCATTCAGTATCTTAAGCACAAAAATAGGCTATGTTTACAGTAGTTAAGGCGATCAAATTTTAAACAAAAGCAATTAAAAAAAAAAAGGGAAAAACAGCAAACGTTTTCCATGCTACTCCCATAGACCTTATTTGTAAGTGCAAGACAGGAAAACAAACACTGTGCAAAATGCTTTTGCCCTGCGTGTTGGTCATGAAAACCACACGTTGGGCTGCAGCCTCTGCTGCCCCGATACACAGAGTCCACTAACCCCCTTCCCCACCTAACCCACGTCAATCAAGGCAGTCCAGTCCTTTCAGCCCGGGGCTTTTTCAGTCCATAGAATCTTTTCATGAGTTTGGGGGGGGGGGGGGGGCAATGAAGGGGAGGGAGAGAGGGAGGGAGGGAGGGTGGGTGGGTGAGGGAGAAGGAAGAAAAAGAGAAGGGGAGCCCCCCAAAAAAATCCCAAAAAAAAAAAAAAAGAAGAGAGAGAATGACCTATTGTCAATTTGTGCAGTAGTTACTCTAAAAATGCTCAACTGGGTAAATGTGTACACCTAAACTTTTGAGCTGGCATGGGTTTTGTGCAATTAGAAGTTTGTTATAAATGCACACTGCACATGCAAATCTTTAAGCCGTTTGTAAACATTTATATTTTCCTTGTTATGTAGCGAAGTTATCAATTTGCAGCTTAAGTTTTTATTCAGCTTAACAGTTTCAACTTAAGGACAGTGGGAAAGTCAATTTAAATTATATAAAATAAAAATAAAAACAGTGCATTTACGTTCTTCATAACACCAGTTTTTTTCCCCAAACGGTGCTATTTTTTTTCTAAGGAAATTAAATAATTTTAAACTCACTCGTTAAAGTTATACAATGCAAACAAAGACAAAAAATATATTGAAACTCATGCATTTCTGTAGCGTTAATATTTACTTTTCAAGACTCAACTAAGAGCATCAACACAACCTGTCAAGTTCTTTGACACCCCCCCCAGCCCGTGTAATCAGTTACAGTATACAAGAACAGTAATTCACATTTTTCAACACACAGTTCAACACTGCTGAAGCTGCAATATCCTTTTTCATCCCAAGCAAACCTTCACAAAGACAGCGTCCCAGTGATCCCAGTGTACTTTCAGAATTTCTCTCATTGGGAACCGTCAGAAAACCAGAAGTTGCCACAGAAAGTTTTAAGTCAACTGCTTGTTTAAAAATAGATAATCCAGCATTTCAGAAATTTTCCATTTGGGTCTAAAAGCATTCAGGTTTCCAACAGCCAGAAAAGATTCATGCAATTTGTGACATATAAAGAGGCTAAGAAAACTGGAGGGAATTTCTACTCTGAAAAGGAAAAAACAAAAACCCAAACAAAACCAAAACAAAACAAAAACACAAAACCAAAACAAAGTGGAAAAAGAGAGAGAGAGAGAGAGAGAGAGAGAGAGAGAGCGAGCTCAGAAGACAATGCAGTGTCGACAAAATTAAGCCCTGTGAAAGCATCTTGTGATAGGACGAGTTGTTTCCAAGGTTCTTATTGGCTTCCTTCCCCTACCCCCTCGAAAGAAAAAGCCCTCTCTAGTCTCCGACTTGCTCGAAAGTCTCTTTTACCAGAATGCTAAATTAGTGAGAGTCTCATGCTACTCTAAAGTGCAAAACCGAGTTAACACCCCGACGTTTTAGTTCCAGGAAACAAGGCTGCTTTTAGACCGTACCACAACTAGATAGAGATCTATGTATATATATGTATATATATATATATATATTATTTATATATATATAAAATTATTTCCAGAGTTCTTGAGAGCTATCTTCTAAGGTCCAGTCTCTGACAGTGGGCAAGCTCAGGGCTTCGCTTTTGACAGACAAGGAGTTCACCAACTCACAGTGGAACTTGCGGATGTGTCTGTACAGGTCCCCGGACTGCGTGAACCTGCGCTCGCACCACTTGCAGGCGTGCGGCTTCTCGCGCGTGTGCACCACGGCGTGGCGGCTCAGGTTGTGCGAGTACTGGAAGCTCTTGCCGCACTGCGTGCACGTGTAGGGCTTCTCGCCTGAGTGAGTCCTCTCGTGGCGCTTGAGCGTGTACATGCACGAGAAAGTCTTGCCACACAGCGAGCAGGTGGGCACGTTGACGTCGGCGGCCGGCTTGCTGCGTAGCCCGTCCTGCTCGCGGAAGTGCGTGCTCAGGTGGATCTGCAGGATGTGTGGGCTGGGGAAGACCTTGTTGCACAGCGGGCACATGAAGATCTGGCCGGCCGGGCTCAGGATGTTGGACACGTAGGGCAGCAGGCTGCTCTCCATGCCGCCCTCCACCGGGCCGCGCTCAGCGTCCGGGGTCATCATCTCATCGTCGCTGGCTTTGTCGTCGCGCTCGAGCTCCCTCAAGACCGAGTCCTCCCTCAGCGGAGCCAGGTGGGCCGGCTCATACTGTACCCTGGCGTTAGTGCTCACACTCTCTTTCACAGCGCTATGTTCCATGTCATAGTCATTAGTGCCAACCTCGCTCTCCTCACAGGAAGCCTCTTTCTCCACCTTCACCTGCACCAGGTTGCTTCTCAGCACGTCCTGTGAAGAGAAATAAGAGCTGTTCAGATTTTCAACTCCCGAAAGGCTGGACTTGACAGACAGGTCCAGCACACAGTCAACATCTGCCGAATCCCTCACGGAGGTGACAGACCTCTGGGACAAAGACTCTGTGGAGCTGCAGGGGCTGGCGACTGTTTTTCCAGCTGCTGTGGCGTGTGGCTCGGCCTCCCCGCCTGCCGGGGGGATGCCTGCCGAGTCGGAGGGCAAGCGCATCCACATGTTCCCGGGCTCGGCCGCCAAGTCCCTTTTGCTGGGCAGGAGGTTCAGTTTTTCGTCTTCGCCCTCGTCCTCGTCGCTGGGCAGATCGCCGGCCATGTGGCTGCTGCCGTCCGAGAGGCTCTCAACTTTGTCCGAGCAACTGGAGGCATCTTCCTCCTTCTTGGTGCTGTCTGCCTCCGTGGTGGCTTTCTCTTTCAGCTTCTTTTTGCACACTTTGACAATGTCATACATGTGGAGATAACTGGCAGCTGCTAGCACGTCTTCAATGGGCAAGTCTTTGAACTGGAGTTTCCCTTCATACATGAATTCAAGCAGGAGAGCGAAAGCCGGGGCTGTAACAATGTCGCTGTTCAGATGAACAATGTCTCTTTTGTCCAGCTGGTCCTTGTAAAAGAGGTGGAAATACATGCTGCATGAAGCCAGTACAGCTCGGTGCGCGCGGAACTGGGCATCTCCCACCAGAACAGTGCAGTCACAAAGGAAGCCCTGATGCCTCTGCTCGCTCAGACACTGCAGCAAATGTCTACTGTGGTCTGGAAACTCCATACTGTCTTCATAACCTGGGGAGAGAGAGAGTTCTCATGAGAGCCTGCTCAGGAACAACTTTCCAGTGCTTTAGCCCCGCGCAAAAAAAAAAAAAAAAAAAAAAAAAAGATAGTGACAGTGATTCGGCTCTGGCCGCCCGAGGTACCAGTCCCTGAATTTTAATCAGGCTCTGACCCGGGGACTACCAGATGACTCGCACAAAACCTAACCGTGAGAAGGGGGAAAGAAAAAATAAAGTGCACTTTTCAAACTTGCTCGTCCCAGCCCAACAGTCCCTGACGCATCTCCACCTTCCTGGAACTTTCAGGCAAGTTTTAAAAGTCTTAATTTCAGTGCAGTCTCTCACCGAGATTAAGAATTGAGATCTCTTTCAGAAGAAGTGAACCTACTCATCAAATCATGTCCCACAAAACCTACAAAACAGCTTTAATTTCAAAGGGAACAGCACATAGAACGGACAAAGAAAAGTCCCAAACACATTCTATAAGATTCACAAAACTTGTTCAACCGTCCTTTTTATTTTATTACTTTGGATACATGACTGCACTTAGCACAATTTTAACACACACACTGGCTGAATCAAGGAGGAAAAAAATGAAATCGCATAATTAGCCCAGAAATTAGCAAACAACTCACTTTTAAAGTCAGAGTGTTACAACAACAAAAGCCCTGTGTATAAAAACAGATGTTAATGCCTTAGGATTTGCAGGTAGAGCACACATGTACGAGATCAGAAAGAGCTACACCAACAGATGGAAAAGATCATCTTTACTATGAACAAATCCAAATATTTTTTAAATGAATTGAGGGAAAAAAAACAGTAACATTTCTTTGTAAAATCTGTATATCCAGAATATTAGGAACCAGGAGGGCTTCTCTTAACTCTGCAAATTCTCATCTAAACTTTGATCCGGTGCAAAGCAAATGAATTCCATACTGAAATTATTTCAAACTTTTAAATGAAAGCATATCATATTCAAATGAAACTCAAAAACTGTACAGGTTCAACACCCCCCCCCCCAAAAAAAAAAAGCCTTGCAAGAAAAAGAGAAACTATTTTTTTTTCTGACTCTTCCTTACCTCATTCAACAGAAAATACTTTGTTTCAATAAAACTTGATATATTTTGTTTTCCCACTAGCTTCTATTCTTTCAAATCTGCATTGCTGCCCTTGTTTTCTGGTGAAGGAGGGTGAAATGGAGGGAGAGGAAAGGCGAAGATGTACAAAGGGTCAAAATTCAACTCCTTTAAAAAAAAAAAAAAAAATCAAGAAAACGCGACTTCCCCTTTCCCGTGACCAGAAGCGAGGTTCCACACCAACCATCTCAGAGAGTGCATTTGGGGAACGGACACATAGCAATTTAATATTCCAGAAATTACCTCCCTTTCTCTCCACTTTGTCCAAGATGGACTAAACTTTCATCCTAGCCCCCAAATACCTTCCGCACGATGCCACCGCTAGAATAAACCAAGATTTACAATACAATCACTTTAAGTGCCCCACAGCTAACATCAATCCTAATCCTTGAGAGGGCTAAAAATAAAGATTGGAGGGCAGCTCACAAGGTAGCCGTGATCAAATTAGGAGGCTGGGAGGACAGAGAGGGCCGAAGAAGGAAGCTTATAAACATCTGATCCAGCTGACTGTGGCCATATGGCAGCTGCTGCCCAGATAAAGAGATTAAGAATAGAGGAGTGCGATTACAGCTGTCTGGCCAATTCAGGCAGCTCAAATCTACAAGTTCTAAATTAGTCGCTAACACAAAAACTCCTGCAAATAATTATTGTTATGCTGAAATAAAAGCTCTCTTAAATATATATTTGAAAGAGAAATGAGGAAACCAGTCAAACTATTCTCCTGGGGACAAAAGTTTTTTTTTCCCCCTTTTTAAAAAACCTTCGGTTTCAAAAGCACTACAGCTGTATGTTTCAGTAGTGCTGCTGAATGTTTTGAAGAATAAAGTTTCACAGTGGAATTAATTACACAACAATCTAGCTTCTTAACTAGAATAATCTTCTCATATAAGTTTGAATGCTGGATTCCAGACAGTTTACTATTTCTCTCCCCCCTCTACCCCAGAAGCAAAAGGAATCTAAATAGCAGTGAACAACAACAAAAAGCATTTTAATCCCAAGTGATCTCAAAAAGCAACATCTCAAAGCCTTTCTTAACATTTCAAAACTTGAAATATTTCTGTGTATTAAAGTTATTTACTTGCTCGAGCAAAAGGGATAAAAATTAAAACTACACAAGCCCAAGACTTTCAACTCCAATAAGATGTTCATTTAATACTCGGTTTCATATATTATTCCTAAACTGGGTTAGAAAAGTAATGTGATTTTTTTAATTAAATCAACAAAACACCAAAACAGAAATATGCTCAATCTAATCTCTTGCTACTCCTACCTTTAGGACACATAAACCTGATTAAGTCCTTTCCTCTGGGTCTCGCTGGCTCCAGGTCTGTTACATCGGTGGAAAAAAAGCGGACTAAGAGAGACAGATGCAAAGTGGAGATGATGTTAGAGAGGAATAAGATACCTTCTCCACCACAGATCCGCACACACTAACTCCCTGTCTGTGTGTTAGAATAAAAGGCTGAGGGATGGCAGGCTGTCAGCTGCTCTGACATCATGTTCAGATGGAAATGCTACCTCCAGCTGTGCTCCTTTTAATGCCATATGCTACTCCTCTACACTCCTGCCACCAGCTTTTTCTTAGGAGAACTTTTCTCTTCTGTTAGTATAAACAAAATACTTCAAAGTCTCCCTTTTTTTCCAAACTTTCTAACAGAAAGAAATTGAAAAACTCAGCATATGGAGTTCTACTGTATTTATGGAATAGCAACACTTCTGTCTTAAGTTGGTGGACTGGCTCACATACTGACAGCACACTCAAGCCACGGTGCTATTCAGGAAATCCAGATTCACTTTTATTCAACTCCAACGTTTAGTTTCAAAGGCAGCTTAGGGATATTTTTAAACCAACCCAATTGACATCTCCAGTCCCATTTCAACATTATTACGGTACTTTCATTTTTTTTTTTCCGCCAAGATAATGGCATACATGTCTCAATGCTGGGAGACTATACAGAACTATTACTACAGGCGGGTTCACCTTATTATTTCCCTCTTAATTTTAACTATTTATCTCCTACAACCTACTCAATAAAATTTCTCACATTGCCACTACATGCAAATTTCAACTCTCACTATCAACAAGGTGAAACTGCACTTTCTGAAATCCTGGAAAGTACTTCAGTTCAATGAGACAAATTAATAAACTGATGCAACCTGCTACGGCCGCTTAAAATGAACACTGCACCTGCCTATCTGATCTGACTCTCCGCTCAGGGGGAAAAAAAAAAAAAAAAGCAGAACTTTGTCTTCCCCTTGATCTGTGTCCCATAACAATCTTTTTTTGGGTCACTCTGCTGTAATGTTTCGTGATCACAAGAAAACCTTTCAGCTTTCAGTAAGAAGGAGGGGGGCAAGTCTAGTAAGTTTGGGAACTTTTCAGCTCGACTTTGTGGGTCTTTTTCTAATGGCTGATGAAATCGTAACGTAACCCGGGCTGGGCTGCCCCGTGCCCTGCAAGGTGCTGCGACATCTGTGAATGTCAAAGCCAACCCCACGGACTGGGAGGGCGAGGCGCAGCGAAGGCCCGAGGCGCGAGCGTCGCAGCCCTGCTGGTCACCGCCGGGTCCTCACCCGAAAACCGCGGCAGAGTTAACCAGTAACAAAAACCAGCGTCTCCGTCCAGGCTTCCTCGCTTGGCCAAAGTCACAGACCTAACTTTCCCTAACTTCGCGGTGAATGACATAATGACGAACGCCTATTGCGGGAGGCACTCTTCGGGAGCTACATTCCTTCCCAGCCACACAACCTATTCTCCACAAATGCCCTCGCCCCATTCCAACATATCAGACATTAATCACCCCATTTGCCCAGTGGGGTGGGGGGTGAGTGACAGTTTAATGAGTCCCAAGCACCGCAATGGGCCAGCGACTCCCACCCCACAAATCAACCCCTTCGCAGTCCTGCTACCGCGGGGTCCAGGGACGGACTGAGAGCCTGGGTTTCTGTTTTTCCCGAGGGGTGGGGGCGAGGGTGCGGAGTGGGGCCGGGGTGGGGTGGGGTGGGGGGGGTGGGGGGGGAGTGGGTAGGAAATGCAAATCTCCACGTAGTTCGCCGCGCATAAAACACACGGGGAAAGAGGAAGGTTAAACCACAGGGAAGGAGGTGGAGGGCGGAGAGCCGGTGCAGCAGGAAAACACCTTCCACAGCAGACGAGAAAACAGACCCGGGTCACGGCAACAACAAAAGAAAAGTCGTAAGAAGCAGCCCGCGGGAGGAGGGTGGCTGCTACCGCTTCCCCGACGCCGCGGCGCGCGAGCCCCCGGGGCCTCCCGGCAACTGCACCAGCCCGGGAGGGGCCCCTCCCCCGCCGGCCCCCTCCCCCCGGGCGCCACTGCAGCTGCACCGGTCCCCGGAGCCGCGGCCGTCCCGGGCGCCGCTGCAGCTGCGGCGGCTCCCAAGCCCCCCTCCCCCAGCCCGCCGCCCTCCGCACCCGGGAGGCGCCGCCGCAGCTGCACGGGCCGGGAGCCCGCCCCGCGCCGCAGCTGCACCGGCCGCGGGGAGGGGGGGCGGGGGGGCGCGGCGCGGAGCCGGCGAGCCCGCACCCCGCCCGACCCCGCAGCTGCGGCGGCCCCGTCCCCGCGCCCGGCCTCCCGCAGCTGCGCCGCCCCCCGCCGCCCCAACCGCTCCGAGCACACAAACTAAACTCCACTCGCGGGGGCGCCCCCGGCCCGGCCCGCCCTCCGCCCGCCCCGGCCCGGCCCGGGCCGCACAGCTGGCGCCCCCCGCCCGCCAGGGGGGCCGGGCGCGGAGGGGGCGCCGGGTCAGGGGCCGGGGCGGGCGCCGGCACTCACACGGAGCGGCCCTAAGTCACCGCGTCCCCGCCGCCGCCGCCGCCGCCGCCGCCGCCGCGTCCTCCGCCTCCTCCTCCTCTTCCTCCCGGCCGCCGCCGCCGCCGCCGCCGGACTTGGTGGGCTTCCTCCTCCTCTGGCCCCCCTCCCTCCCGGCCCCCCCGCCCCCCAATCCCGGCTCCGTCGCCCGCTCCCCCCTGCCCCCTCCCTCCCTCCCACCCACCCCCGCTGGCAGCCGGAGGAGCGCGGCGGAGCGAAGAGGGCCCCACTCTCAACGGCTCCCCATGGCAGCAGCCCAGCGGCGGCCGCAGCCTGCCAGACACAGCGAGGGAGCGAGCGAGGGAGCGAGCGCGGAGCCGCCGGCCGGGGAGGGGGGGCGGGAGGGGGGGCGGGCGGGCGGGGGAGGGGGAGGGGAGGGGGCGGGAGGACGCACCACGCACGCACGCGGCGGCGCCGGCCAGATGTTCCCCCCCGCCCGGCCTCGGCCCGCCCCTCTCCTCCCCCTGCCTCCCTCCCCCCCGGCGTTGGGCCCCTGCGATTGACCGTAAGCGGCTGGACCGGCGCTCCCCGCCCGCCCCCAGCGCGCAGCCTCCTCCAATGGGAGGGCGGCCTCGCGGGAGGGCGGGGGGAGTGGCGGGCGACCGTCGGACTGACGGGAGGGCGCAGCCAATGGGCGAGGCGGGCCGGAGCTGCCGCTCGCGCGTGCCAATCGCAGGCCGGAGCTGTTGCGGTGGGCGGGGCCCGGGCGGGCGGGGGGCCGGTAGCGAGGCGGCGCGGGGCGGAGTCCTCGGGCGCAGCGGCGGTGGCGGCAGCGGCGCCCCTCTGGGTGACTTGGCCGTGAGAAAGTGAAAGGAGCCCGCAGGCGGCAGCGACAGCTGCGCTGGGAGGGGCCTGTCTCCGGGCTCCGGGGCCTCGCGCGCCCCGGGGGGGGTGCGGCGCGACCTTCTCGGGGCGCACCGTGACCACCAGAAACACACTTTTAAAAGCGGTGGGGCCGGCGTGCGCCGAGTTCCGCAGGTATCCTCGGGAGGCAGGGCGCGCGGGGACGCGGGGGACGCGGCGCAGTCGAGGCCCGCCCGAGCGCGGGGAGCGGAACCGAGCGGCGCCCGCGCTCCGTCCCGCCACCCCGCGCCCCCCGCCCCCCGCCCCCCGCCCCCCGGTGCAGGTCGGGGCGCGCGGCCGCGGGCTCCGGGAGGCGAGTCCGGGCGTCGCTCCCCGGACGAGGTCTGGCTCCGGGAGGCACGCCTGCGGCCCCCGCGGCCCCGGGGCACTCGCCCTCTCACCAGCACACACTCCCAAGCGACTAAATTCTAGAGAACTCCAGTAAAATTGGTAGTTGTGGAAGCCGTAGCCGGATTCCTTAATTGGTACGTATCAAGCCACAGCGTTCAGCCACCGAGGGAAGATGTGAGACAGACCGCAGTGCCGCGGCCCCCTCCCTCCAGAGGAACTTTTATCTGATCCTGCCTCTTGGCTATGAAATTGGGTCCATCACGGCAACGGAGAAATGTAGAGACTTCTCAAGAAATTGCAAATCTTGGTGAGGCAGGGATGACAAAGTGGAGCAGCAAGTAAAAAAAAAAAAAAAAAGGTTCAAGTATGTACAATAGCAAATTGCACAGTAAGGAAGTCAGTGCACTAGTAATTGTCACATGAAATGTGTTTATTCTTTGCTAACTGAACCGGGACTGGCAAGCCTGTTGCTAACCAACTTGCCAGGAGACCTTTCAACTGAGCAAAATGTGCTTTCACTTTGTTCCAGGTCAAATGGGTAAACTAAGTTGAGAGCATTGTGTGGGCAAATCAGACATGTTGAATTACTAATGAAGTCCAAACAGGAGCACGTAACATTCCTGGAGCTGAAATACAGTTGGGCTGTCCTGTTAGAAACAATCCGATGTTCTCTTTCCTGGGCTTTTTCACATGCCCTCGGGATGGATCACTGAGATCAAGGCCGTCCTGTGATAATTAGTTCCTTAGTTCATGAAACATACCGTTGTATGTATGCTTTTGGTGAATTCTAGATCTTTTAGTCTATTGGTATAAGGCCCAATTTCAGTTTGCTCTGTTTCCAGTTAGGGAAATTTGTAAATTTTCTTGATGGATGCAACATACTATTTTAAAAAAAAAATGTGAAAAGGAGCACATGCTTTGCCAACAAGTTGAGGAAGGAAAAAGGAATAAAATGTTTGCATTCTCAGAGCTGTTCCTCACCTAAGAAAAGTTCAAAATAAGGAAAATAACAGATCTCTGGATGAACAGACATGAAGCAATTGTGTCAGGATATTAATAAGTTCGTGAGAAAATTAGATCCTCCACGAAAAGTTTGGAAACTTAGCTCTGTGGCATAGAGAGCAAAGTCACAGCTGTACCAAAAGGTTTAATTACCTAAGAGTAGAATAACAGCCCCGGAGATGAGCCAGGGGTCTGACACGACGATGCCTCCGAAGTTGTGAGCATTGTTTCCTAGATGTGGCAGTCATTACTAGAATTCATTTTTGAGAGCTGAGTTGTGTAGCCAGAAAATATAGATTAAATGGATATTTAAGGAAGCAAGTATGTCATCCCTCAATTATGTAAAGGGGTCTTATAAATTTATGAAAATGCATGGAATATTCATACGTTGTCAGAATCAATAAAAACATTTCTGGAGTATTTATTGTGTTCAAGAAAGGCATTCTGATGGGATGTGAAAGATGACAGAAAAGCAGGAGACAGGTTCTCTCCTTCCTGGGGTTTAAATGGAGCTGGGAAAGAAATGGTGTGACTGTATAAAAATCTGGAACAACGGAGAGACTAAACTAAAACAATATAATATGAATGTCAGAGCTAAATGTAATATTCAGTTGTTACAACCATCTTCCCCCTGGCCCCTGGTGAGGCTGTATTTTTTCTGCCCCATTTTTTACGTTAAGAAAATGTTTTACTCTCTGAATTCATTTGAAAGTGTCATAAACTTACTACAAAAATGATCCTTTTAATCATCTTTGGAAAATCATCAGCATACAAATTGTAAATAAAACAAGACTGATGTCAGAGGTGTCATGACACAGAACAATTACTATTTTTACTGAGTGCTCACTGGAACTGTGGAAAGTAAGAAGTCAGACCCAAATAGCCCCCAGGGTAAGCTCCTCAAAGTGGGGTCTGTTTACCTCTGCCCAACAGGCTTAGCAAATTAACAAGATTAAAAAAAAAAAAAAAGCTGCTTGACAGAGTTTGAAAGCCAATATTTTTTTCCCTCTCCCACAGTGAGGAGAAATAAAGTGTAAAAAGTACAATCTCTAAACTATTAGAAAAATGTACCATTACTTTCTTCTGAAAAAATCCCAATCCTGTACAGTTAACAGTTAATGCATACTTTTCTAAGAGTCCTGAAATTTAAAATGACACGAGCCAATCTAACCGTTCATGGTTAGATTTCTCACCAGAGAACAAGTTTTATGTTTTAATAATACATGGATTTCAAACAATAACAATCTAACTCTATAAAATGTCGACAGACCAAATAAAATTTAATTTGATGGGCAACTCCGTAAAATGAATGTCTGACTTTTAAATGTGAACCACAGTTCAAATCTCTGAAAAACTCAACATCTTTGTTAACACTTTGTGAGATAGGTCATGTCAAAAAAGTTATCCCTGCAATTGTATGCTTTATAAACTTCATGTATAACTGGGGTCTTTTTTTCTTAAAAAGTCAGGGAGGCAAGCATTAAAAAGACCAGATATTCCAAAGTGCAATAGTTTACATATAAAAACTATAAAATGTAACAAAATGTGGGTAGTGGTTAACCTGATTTTGAATCTAGAGAGAAAAAATATACTGAAGTGAAACGTGTTAAAGCTTCTTTTAAGCCCAGACTCTTTCAATGTCATAGCACACATGA